AGAATTTAGCAATTTTGCCAATTTCACACAAATTTCAAAAGATGCCAATTTCCGAATAGGGTCCAGAATAAACAAGAAAAGGACATTCCTGGCACTAAAATGACATTTCCTCTAGTCATTAGTCACGTCTCAAGGGCCCCTCTTATATTCTTTTGCTTTCCACTTTGAATTTTTATTTTCACAAAAAATATAAGATTTACTGTTATGCAGACTACTGCATTAGTGTAAAAAATGGTATAAATATTATTGGTGCACTTGTGAAAAGAATATTAGGACTCACCAGTTGACTTGTATTGCACGCTTGGCACGATTTGTTTACTTTGAAGTTAGGTAAAAATCGAACATTTCTGCTACTTTGAGCTCAATTTCAGGCACCTTTCATTGTTAAAACCAGTCAAAATCATCTCAATTTCTGTAATATGTCTTCCATTCTATAAAATGAGACCAAGAAAACTAGAATACAACAATAAATACCATATGAAAATACACTGCAAAGTCGCCGATTTATTAAAAAAAAATGGTCAAAGTTTTTTTTTTCTCATTATGCACTGTGTGCTGCAGGATTTTTTTTAGACTGTGCACACTGACCACATAGACCCATTCTTTCATATGAAGGCCTACCAGCTTTCTCCCACTAGATTTGAGGCCGCTAGAATTTATGAGTACTAGTACGTCAAAAACCCCTACTCGTAAGACGTACTAGTACGACGAGAACCCTCAAAGGGTTAAGAAGCATCTTTCCATCATACATTGCCCAAGTTTCAATAAGATATCTAGTCCAACAAACAAACGAGATCCAATTCCCTAGATCAAGAGTAAGAGCCCTTCACCAGTGTCAGGGAAACTTTCTTGAGGTCTGCTCGCTTATGGAAATTTCGCTTGTGTATGGAAGCAAAAAATCAACCCATTGACTGCTCGTAAAGTGGACCCCTGCCTTACAAACGCATCGTGTTACATTAAATCCTCCATACGAAGCATTTGAACGCAAAAATTTTGCCTCGCCTCGCGATAAAAAACTCGCCTTACATGATTTGTCTGGGACACGTCCCACGTGTGGCCTCAGCGCCAGTGTTTACAAGCCAGCAAGTGCAGTCGCATCTACGCATACATTTGGTACATTTCACATTATCCCAGTGTTTTTAGTGCTTGTAACTGCAAAATAATATAGGTAGTAGATTGGCAGACAGCAACCGCCCAGGGAGGTACTACCGTCCTGCCAAGTGAATGTAATGCGAAAGCCTGTAATTGTTTTACATGATGGTAGGATTGCTGGTGTCCAATTTTCTGTCTCATAAATATGCAAGGTTTCAGGTACGTCTTGCTACTTCTACTTACACTTAGGTCACACTACACATACATGTACAGGCATATATATATACACACATCCCTCTGGGTTTTCTTGTATTTTCTTTCTAGTTCTTACTCTTGTTTATTTCCTCTTATCTCCATGGGGAAGTGGAATAGAATTCTTCCTCCGTAAGCCATGCGTGTTGTAAGAGGCGACTAAAATGCCGGGAGCAAGGGGCTAGTAACCTCTTCTCCTGTATATATTACTAAATGTAAAAGGAGAAACTTTCGTTTTTCCTTTTGGGCCACCCTGCCTTGGTGGGATATGGCCGATGTGTTGAAAGAAAGAAAGAACTGCAAAATAAGTCGCCATGGACCCCAAGAAAGCTTCTAGTGCCATCCCTGTAGTAAAAAGGGGCAAGAATTAGTATGGAATTGAAAAAAGAGATTAAGGAAATGCATGCAAAGTGGGTTGAACTGCAAACCTTTATGGATGAAAATCACCCTGACATAGCTACTACAAGCCGTGTTGCCAACCTGTACAATGACAATATTATGGCCCATTTTAGGAAAGTCTTAAAGGAACAGGAGGTACAGAGCTCTATGGACAGATTTGTTGTGCGACAGAGGTCCAGTGACTCTCAAGCTGGTCCTAGTGGCATTAAAAGAAGAAGGGAAGTAACCTCGGAAAAGGACTTGCTACCTCAAGTCCTAATGGAAGGGGATTTCCCTTCTAAACAATAACTTCCACACTCTCCCCTCCTCCCATCCCATCAATCATCACCAGATCTTCAATAAAGTTAAGTGTCATGTATTCTATTCTTAGTAGAGTAGTAATTGTGCATGTCTTCTTCAGTTTGTGTGTATTAAAATTAATATTTCATGAGGTAAAAAAAGTTTTTTTTTATACTTTGGGGTGTCAGGAACGGATTAATTTGATTTCCATTATTTCTTATGGGGAAAATTAATTCGGCTAACGATAATTTTGGCTTACGATGAGCTCTCAGGAACGGATTAATATCGTAAGGCGGGGGTCCACTGTATCTGGAAAAACTCACACGTGGATGCACTCGCAAATAGAGGTTCCACTGTAAATAATTACACACTTATCATTTCTCCAACAACTTTACCACCACCTGGTGCATATGTACAAAATAATTTAATACTAAGGTTACTGTGGATAACAAATAAATAAGAATACCCCTTCACATACTTTCTGTCGTGGAGAGAAACTATGAGCTGGCGTAAACAGTTGCGTCTGCGGTGTTGGTCGGGACAGGCTAGTAGAGCAGTGAATGCTTCATCATGATGATGCAGCTCCAGATGATGCTTGAACACAACAGAGTAGAGGGCAGACATTGATGGATGGTCGGAGGAAGCCATGGCAACTCCCTCTTGGGCCACCTGTAGTGCTAGAGCTGGCTGCCCACTCTGCTCCAGCAGACGGATCACACGTAGACAATACATTACACGCAGTTGGTCTGGCGGAGTCTCTGGTCCTCCGCCTGCAACTTTCACACCAAGGAAATCTTCGGTGATGACACCTTCAAGTGCAGACAGCAGGAGACGTGCGGCCTTGATGGCTTCTCCTTGGTTGAGGAGAGCTACACCCAACAAGAACTTCCTAGAGCAGCTGTTCCATTCACACCAAGGTTGTAGCAGCCTAACATACTCTTGAACAGTTCCATGTTGTCCTCCCCATACAAGCCACTCCACCAGTATCAGGCAGCGACTAATGGGCCATGCTAACTGGGCCACAGTCATGGCCAGTGGCATCAAAAGTTGGGCCCACCCACCACTTGGGTGACCACTGCCGGTGTCATCTAAAGATGGTCCCACCAGGGCACGAGACTGATCTCCACCACTGCTCATGAAGAACTGCTCCAACACAGTGGCAGGGCGGCCTGCACTGGGCAGAGCATGTACCATGCCCGGACAGCTGCCCAGGGATAATGCTGCTAGTTGACGTTTTCCAGCCTCCAACGTGGCCTGACTGGGTTGAATGGCTGCTGCTGTTGATACATGCAAGAGAGCAAAATATGCCTGAGTAAGGAGGGCAGTCTTTGGCAGCAGTGTAGAGCGCAGCTGAGCAGCTGCATCAGGAGTGAGCCGACACTTGTGTCCCAAGTGCAATGCTACCTGCTGTAGAAGCAGCAAATCTCTACATAACTCTAGTCTAACTTTTGCTACTTGGGCTACTACTGCACCAATGATGGCTGCCCCTGCACGCCCAGATAGAGCCCCAGACAAGCTTCCTGATGATTTGATGCCGTTTTCTAGAGTTAGGGCATCTGGCATTCCCATGTCCAATTGCAATGCATGAAGATAAGCCCGCAGACCAGCCACCAGGCCAGATACACTAGCCAACTTTTTACCCAAGTCTGATGAGAGCTTAGCACTGTCAGCCAAGAGTGACGCAGTTATGGAGGCTGCAACTTGGTCTGGAGGCTGTAGATGATGAAGATCAAGAGTGAATGCTGATGCCACTTCCAGTGGGATAGCCTCCCTCACCAAGTGCAGAGGTTTGGCCAGTGCCACAACAGCAGCACTCACAACGGCATCTTCACTCAGTACTCCGTCAAGGCTGGCTGCACTCAAGGTATCAACTGGTCCCAGGGCAACAACTTCAAGAGCATCCATGGGCCGCACCCATGACACTACTTGTTTTCTGACCACACCAACCAACCAGTCACTACCAACTCCAACAATGCCCACTGGCTTGTGTCCAACCTGATGGAAATGAAAGGAATATAGATAAACGGAAATATATAAAAATCAGTTACAGAGTTTAGCACAGAGTGCTAAACTATCCATTCTACACAGTGGCAATGTATACAGCCTCTCCTCACTTAACAATGGAGTTCCGTTCCTGAGACGACATTGTTGAACGAATTTGTTGCGAAGTGAGGCGGATAATACAATGGTAGTGAGTCTGTGTCAACCATCTTTGATATTGTTTTAATGTCACTTTTGCATCATTTATAACATTTCTGGTATATTTTTCAAAGCTTATACAGTATTTCAATATACAGTAATATATACTGAAATAAACAGAACAGAGGAAATTAGCTCTAATATACATTATTTAGGTACGAATACTGGTCAGAGAGCCTATCGTAAGTCTGAGGCGTCCGGTAAACGAGTACATCGCTAAGTGAGGAGAGGCTGTACTATTATATAAACAAGATGCACATTAACACTTGCAAACATACATTTAGATGATATTCTTTGCAATTTTGTGACAACTACGGGAATATCACTTAAAAGGGGTATGTGTATTGTGGCTTGTGGTTAAAGTGGCAACACTCGGCTCTCATCTGAGGGACCCGGGTTCAGTCCCTGCATGAATGGAACCCTTGGACATGTTTCCTTACACCAGTTGCCCCTGTTCACCTAGCAGTAAGCAGGTACATCTGGCTATTAGCTAGCTGTTATGAGTCGCATCCCTTGGAAAAGGTCAGTATATAAGTATATCTTAGAAAATGATAGTTTTTGAAATGGGCAGAGAAATCATAATAGCTCTTGGTCTGTATATGAAAAAAGGGCAAAATATTAGAAAACAATATAAATAAAGATGTACCAACAGCGAGAATTAAGTGTAAAAAAAAAAAAAAGCAGTGCCAAAAGTACTCTTGAGAAGATATTTCTTAAATAAAATGGAATGCAGCTAGAATGGTTGACAGGTGGAATGTTACAGAAGCCATTATATTTGCTACAACCAATGAAAACATTAAAAATAATACCAATAAACCTCTGTCTTCAGGAGGGCACTTAATCGTTCCTCGAGAGTTCTGATCAACCAAGCTGCAGTGTTTATGTTCGAATAAAAGTTGTTAGCTCCAATAGCTTGATTGATCAGGTTAACAACTAGAAGGTTTGGTCTGGAACGAGACTGTGCCAGTGTCGACTTGCAAAAGCCTCAACAAGCACTCGACCTGAACCTAGAAGACAGTCCTGTCCCAGCACATTTCCATGCACGGTATGTCATAGCCGTCAGGATATCACTTTGGACTTAGCAGATACAAGTGCACCCTAGTGCAGGAATGCCAAGTCACCTTTCACCAGCTCCAGCTTCATCCTGAGTAACCATACACCTGCTACAGTGCCATGCTATGGTTATACGAGCTACAGCAATGAAAGATGAGTTTTTTAGTGTGGTTCAGTGTGTTACTGTTTCACGTGTGTCCACGCAGTCTAGGGCAACCAGCGTAGGTAGGAAGCCCCTATACCCTGGGCACACACTCACCTCCATCCATACTCACACACACTGCTCAACTATGAAGCTTTCTGTGGTCTTGGAAGTGCCAAGCCCCTAAACTAGCCACCAAGCCTCTGTCCAAGCCAGCCCTCTTAGCCATGCCCCACAGCATGCTGACACCACTATGCAACATAAGACCCAAGTGCTTAACCTTAAGCCAGGTACTGAGTGCTTAATCCTAAGCCAGGTACTGAGTGCTTAACCCTAAGCCAGGTTGCGAGTGCTAAGCCCTAAGCCACACTCCAGCCAGGAGGTCCACACCATGTCACCTCAAAACAAAATAGCATGATGTCACACCATGATGCTACACGTTTCATCACACAAGTTTGTCATATGTTGCTGCAGCCTATAACTATTCTGATCTCAGTATATTCTCCAGTTTTGTGACTGTTCATTTTTTTTTTTGTTTTTCTTTTAATTCCCTTTGAGAAGATTTTGTTGAAAAGTCTTTTTTTCTTTCTTTTTTTATTTTTACAACACTGGCTAGCCTGCAGCCATGTTAACCAACCTGTCAGACATCTAGACCCTCAGCAGTGTCTCAGGTAGTTCCCTGGTGGTACAGTGAAGGATCACCATTCTGTTTTAGGCTCAGGGAAAGAAAATGTCAGCCAAGTTCCTTGAAGTCGATGATACTGCCTTCACCAGTGACCTCCTTGTTGGTTTCAAAACCATGGCAGACCTCAAGATTTATTTTGACCCAGCTGACTAGAAAGTGAATTCTGATGGTGACAAATGTTCCATTTTGGGGAATGCATATAAGATTCTCTCTTTGCCATTCAGTTTCTGAGTATGACCAATGTCTGAAAACCTTTGAAATAGAGGGTTTCTGTAGCAGCAGAATCTCCAAGCAGTTGGATTCTTGCCCAGACTAAACCAACAAAAGAGAACTTTTTGCTCACCCCTTGACTGACAGAGCACAGTTATGAGTAGGAAGCAGTCTGGGGATGCTCAGTCTAACCTCTGCTCTACCTCTGGCTCTGGTCATGATGATGATAATGAAGCTGCAGGAGGATCCCTGATAGCAGGTGACTATCTGACTCATCTCATGGCTTCTGTTAGCAAAGTTACAGCCTATACAAAGAATGACATCATTTTGTTGGCTAACTCACTCATTCCATTTATGGTGTTAGCGAACCAAACTTTTGAAGGAAACCATGTGCCTGCTTACATCAATGCATGCAGAGTCAAGGGTGTGTTCCTAGAACCATCCTTGCACACTGTATGATGTGGTAAGCTACAAGTCCTTATCACAAATGCTCATGGTAGAGATTTTACCCTGAGGAAGACCACACTGGTAGACCCTGTCAGATTTACTCTCCTCATAAGAGTCAAAGGCAAAGTGTCTGTAGACCAGTTTGTGGGTGCACTCCTCCGAGGAGAATCTTCTATTAAATCTTCCATAACAGTGTTAATTCTGCAGATGAAAAGGTTACTAAATCCATTTATTTACCTGCTTACCATTTACCACATGCAGTCTTCGCTGAGTGCTCCATTACAGAATTACTGACAGTGCTACTTCTTGGAATGCTCCACTTATTCTTGTTCGAAGAAGGATGGGACATGGCACCCTGTAATTGATACAGGAAACTAAACTCCTGTACAATCCCAGACCATTTCCCATTGACAGTTATCAATGATCTATTGCAGAACATTGGTAATAAATTTTTTAACAGGCACTTCTACAAGGTTTATGGCAGATTCCTCTTGATGACCAGACTAAGAAATTTATGGCATTCCCTAAGCAAAACTGGTCACTATCAGTTCAAAAGAATGCCATTTAGGTTCAGGAGCAGCCCAATAATAGTCATTTGATGACAATTTTTTCCTACCTTCCTGGGTTACTACCCTTATGGTTTACCTAAACGGCCTCACTGTATCAGGATATACCTTCGCATCTCATAAAAACCTGAGCAGGTATTGGTTTAATTACCCGAGGTTAAACTCAAGTCAAGCTTTCCGAATGCCAATTTCTCAGGAAAGAGAAGGTTTTTGGGTCACTACATGACCTAGAAATCTCTTTTCAAACTCTGCCATTCATAAAGTTTTTAGACTAATGACGACACATGAAATTTGCTCCTTCATAGCTGGATTCTACCGAGCTTTCATTGTCAGTTTCTTCGCCATTGCTACACCACTGGCTCAGTTTCTTTAGAAGGATGTTCCCTTAGAGTGGACCTGCAACCAGAAAAGGGCCTCTGTCATCCTTAAGAACATATTAACATCAGCCCCTATTCTCAAATTCTTGTTGCAGAAGTCCAATGGTAAGCAACAGTCAATGGATTATGCTAGTCAAGTTCTTACCAAAGCCGAGAGAAACTACTCAGCAACAGTGCTCAAGGTCTTAGCCAGTGTCTGAGCCTTGAGTTATTTCCAAGACATTATTTACCAATATTCCATTAAGATTTACATTGTGGTCTCTCACTGTCAACGACTATAATCCAGAAATTCTTCATGTTCGTGGTAAGCAGATGTCGTTGCTGATGCTCTGTCGAGACATATTGCTTTTGATAGCTGTGACAACTCCTAAGTTGAGGATCTAGAGACAGCCCAATGCTGAGACCCTGTCTGGTCACCTGTTCCCTATTTCCTGACCAAAGAGGAGTCTGACCTGCAGGTCAAACTGCCTGTACTGGTGAGGAACTTGATTGTCAACCAAGTAACATTGTGCTGAGTGACTAGACTAGCAGATTCTGGCAGAACCATCCACCAGTTGGTGATTCCAAAGTCCATGGTAGCACCAACCCTGAAGTTCATCCATGATGTCCCAGGTGCAGCACATCCAAGTAAAGATTGCAGTATTAGACAGGTAAAAATGAAACACTTTTGTCCTAAGATGGCAATGGAAATTGTGGAGCACTGTCTGCCTCCAACACAAAAGTACCATCACTAGTCCTAACCCTATTCTCAAGTATCATGTTACAAAAGAGCCCTTTGAGAGAACTTCTGTCAAATTGTTTATGAATTTCTTGACATTGGAGAAAGGTAACAAACATTTGCTTGTACATGTAATGGTCATTAACTAAGAGCTTGTACCTATTCCTGATAAAATAGCCAAGACAGTTGCAAATACTTTCAGAGATTATATTATCCACCATCATACTTGCTCATGTGTCCTCATGTCAGACAACAAGTTGGAGTTCATTGATGCCACAATGCAGGATCTTTGATGTAAGTTTAACATAGACCAAGCTCCTGTAGCTGCATGCCATCCCGTGATCAACAGCCTTGCTGAACGCACGAATCGCAAAATCCTAGAGGTGCTCTGAGTGACTATCCATCCAATGTGTACCACATGGGATGATGCCATTCCAAATGTAGAGTACCTAAACTCTTCGTACAACAGCTTGATTGGAGAGAGACCTCACTCTGCACTGTATGGTTATGACAATCATCTACCATTCAAAATTGTTTGCTCTGCTTCACCTGTATGATCCTGATAATTTCAGTGCCACCAAGATGTGAACCTTTAAGCTCATCTTTCAAAGAGTACAGGAAAATCTTAAGGCAACAGATAAGCTTACTGCTACTCATAATACTGAAGAGAGTCAAATTGTACCAGGATGCAAAGTCATGTTGCAAAATCCCACTGAAGACCCTGGTATGTGGAAAGAAGTTCCCAAATTCATCATTCCTTACAGTGTCCTCAGACAGCTTCACGGCAACAAGTTCAAGGTGAAGGAGATTGCCGGTTGAGAGATTTATCAAAGAAGTTCACTTGACCACATGAAGTACATTGACAACGTTCAAGCCGAGGCTGAACTGGAGGAATGAGTTGTGAAAGTGCAATCAGACTGACATTAGCGACACACTATTACAGGTTGTTGGTGGTGGTTACTGTTATTGGTAGATGTTTGTGGTGGTGTTTTGCGGTGGAGGCAGTGGCAGCTCACAGTGATGGTTCGTGGTGCCTGGCATTGGCAGGAAAAAAAAAATGTAATATTAGTTAAGAAATAGTAGTAGTAATAGTGGAGGTAGTCCATAAGAACAAGGGAACAGAGCAGCACTGCAGGAAAGCTACTGGCCCACAGGGATACAACAAAATCCTCTGCAAGACAAAACCCCCATATGACAGAATCCACCTAGGCAGAATACAAGAAAGGAAATGAAAATACCTATGCTGGACTACTACCACCACTGCTATTACCTTTCCCCACTCCGTCATATATATTTTATTCCCTTCCTTTTTTGCTTCTGTATGATTGTCAATGGGCCTCGTCAGACCACAACATGGTTGTAAATTTCAAGTCTCCTAAGTATGGGTTATTTGTGTATTGTTCCAGCTCCAGTATTTGCAACTTTTCATTGTTTCAGGTACCCAACTAAATACCGAATTATAAATTTTTTTTGTAAGTTTACACAGATAATAAGGGCAGTGTAGAGAGTGACCTGCTGGTACTGAAGAGTGTGGGAGTAGAATGTGGCCCAAGCTTCCAGAGTAATCTGTGTAATCTCCTCGTCAGAAAGGTTGGCACTGAGGCGGGCCTCCACCTGATCCCTGAGTGCTGCTTCCACTTCCTCTTGCAGCCTCCACATTCCCCTTTCTGCCAAGCTGGAGAAGTCAACACTACGCCGATAAATCTGAAAGACGAACGAGAAAGGTTATTTTCATATTCATTGAGAGCAAACACACTGGCTGGTTTACCCAAGCTAACACTGAAACCTTTCTTGTAAAATAGACATGTATACTATTCGTTAATACTGTTCTCCCTAGCTACACTTGTGCAGCAGCTGGATTTGATCTGCTGTCTTCTTCATCTCCACAATGGCCTCCCTTCTAGGTAGGTGCCCTGAAGTTGATGAAGGGGTCTGGTCCAAGGAATTGGAGTTAATTTCACCTTCCACAGATCAAACCAAATTACCTGCCTCCTTCCCATTCCTACAATGCTGTACAGTCCTAACAGACTTAGAACTTCTACATAAATACTGTAATCATAACAGTCCAGACAGTATGATGGTAAAATCCCCTTCTACAGGGAAGTTCGTATTTGACATAACATCATGCTCTAGAGGAGAATTTATTTACTTATTTATTATTAATTTGGATGATACATAGATGTACAAAGAAATACAATGGTTAAGTGAACATGCCAAAAGACCCTTGTATGCAGAGCATTATGGGCAGGCTTAAAATTAACTTAAGACTAGCTAAGCAATGATATATTCAGTGGTAAAAATTACATTAAACAAATAACAATTAAGCACAAATGAGTATTTCAAAGACAGATCATATGGTCATTTGATGAGTTACTGTGCATTCAAGAGAATGGAGTATTCTATTAGGTAACGTAATTAAAAAAAAACAAAGTTTGATTGGGTCACAGGTTATAATTTATGAGATGCAGTTATGTAGTATTTATTTAGTTGTGGGTGAGTAAGTGGTCTTTAAGAAGAGACTTGAATTTATAAACAGTGTTTCTTTTATGTTCACACGTAATAAATTCCAGATTTTTGGGCCTTTTATGTGCATTGAGTTTTTGCATAGTGTGAGATGGACATGAGGAACATCAAATAGTGATCTGTGCCTTGTGTTATGGTCATGTGTTCTGTTGAGGTTGGTAAGGAGACGTTTGAGGGGAGGGTTTATATCCGAGTTAAGTGTTCTATGTATGTAGTAGCTACAATAATAAGTATGGATGTTTTGTATGGTGAGTAGGTTTTGAGTTTTGAATTTTGGTGGAGTGTGCTGTCTGTAGTGGGAATTTATCATCATTCTGACTGCAGCCTTTTGTTGGGTAATTAATGGTCTGAGATGGTTTATTGTTGTTGAGCCCCATGCACAAATTCCATAGGTGAGATAGGGGTAAATAATTGAGTGATATAGGGCCAGGAGGGCTGACCGTGGAACTTAGTACTGTATCATCGATAGTACGCCTACGGTCTTGGAAATTTTCTTGGAAATTTGTTGTACAGCAGGGCCCCGCTTTACGGCGTTTCACTTTACGGCGTTCCGCTAATACAGTCATTTCAAATTATGACCAAAACTCGCTATACGGCTCCCCCACCTGACTTTCTAATACGGTCACCGTGCCCCACCTTGTCTGTTTACATTCTTCGTGAGCTCAGTAAGCACTAAGTCTCTCCATTTTGTCTGGAAACTCCAAAATTTCAAATGCTTATGTATACCTGTACTTAAATAAACTTACATACTGTGCTGGCATGCAGGTACACATTAAAATCAGTAAGAGTGTCTTATGTCTCCAGACGTCATATTAGTAATGATAATAATAATCATCGAGTCTCATTTAAATGTCGTATATTACGTTAAATACACATTTTCATTAATCCATATATGATATTTTTTCAAAATTATATAAATAACACGACACATAACATAAAAAGATGATAAATACACCCCACAATAGAATAAATAAACATAAATATGAGATGTGGTAGCAGACGACTTGCACAAGTGACGCCATATTAGAAATGCTAATAATAATAATAATAATAATCACCAAGTCTCATTAAATGTTGTATATTACGTTAATATACACATTTTCATTAATCCATCCATGATATTTTTTTCAAAATTATATAATAAGCACGATACATAACATAAAAAGATGATAAATACACCCTACAATAGAATAAATAAACATAAATATGAGATATGGTGGCCGGATAACTTGTACAAGTGATGCCAAGAATAACATTTTCTCTAATCTAACATAAGATAAAATGTGTTACTGAGGGTAACTGTAGAAAATTATTCCTTTCGTATGTATGTAAGTAAGTTTATTCAGGTATACACAAATACAGTTACATAGATTATCATACATAACAACATATGTGTAGAGAACCTAGGATAACCCAAAAAAGTCAGAGTGACTTATTTCCATTGCCTTCACTCAGAGCATCATTTCTTCTCAAAATGATGTTACATGAGAATGAGAGTGTTCTTCTTTATTTATTCTACCATATCAATGTAGAGACAACCTGTACACAATGTAACTTGTACACAAACCAGACGTGTACACTTCGTTTACAAAACTTACCTTCGCCTGGTTTGTTTACATAACTCTGCGCCTGTCCTCTCTCATGCACTCATTCTTTCTCTCTCTCATTTATTCGTTTTATCTCATTTACTTACTCCTGACCCTACATTAAGCCTACAAATATTTTAAGGTAAGTAATGAGTGAACTGTATATACATTTTATCGCTCTGGGATGCTTAAATATCATAGAATTGTATGTGTGGGTGGGGTGGCCTGGTATGGTAGCCTGGCTGACTACCATACATACCACACTTGATTTCTTACAATAAATGCTACTTGTCTCACCCTAGATTAAGACTATAAATATTTTAAGGTAAGTAATGAGTGCACTATGTGTGTATTGTACTTTTTTATTGTTTTTTGATGCCTGGTTCTATTGCTAACTTAATATATGTTAGTGTAAACTTGTTATCTAGTGTTTGTATGCATTTGTAAGGGGAAAAAAAGGGTGTTCCACTTTACGGCGGTTTCCGCTTTATGGCGGTAGCCTGGAACCTAACCAGCCGTATAAGTGGGGCCCTCCTGTACATGTGTTTGAAATTTGAGCCTATTATCAAGGAGGATTCCTAAGAATTTTCCCTCTGTGAGCTTTGTGAGAGGTGATCCATTTATCATTATGTTAAGAGGGACATATGTAGTTCTGTTTCCAAACAGAATGAAGTAGGTTTTATCAATGTTGAGAGTAAGTTTGTTAGTCATCATCCAGGTAGATATTTTCTGTAATTCGGTATTTACAGTACAGTGGACCCCCGCATAACGGACGCCTTGCATAGCGGACAATCCGCATAGCGGACGCTTTGATCGCTAAAATTTTGCCCCGCATAGTGGACAAAAACCCGCTCAGCGGCCTTCGTCCGAGACGCGTCCAATGTGCGGCCTGAGCCACGCTCACATGTTCCGCGGGTGGCATTGTTTACCAGCCAGCCTCCGCGGTAACATCCAAGCATACAATCGGAACATTTTGTATTATTACAGTGTTTTTGGTGATTTTTTTCTGGAAAATAAGTGACCATGGGCCCCAAGAAAGCTTCTAGTGCCAACCCTACAGCAATAAGGGTGAGAATTACTATGGAGATGAAGAAAAAGATCATTGATAAGTATGAAAGTGGAGTGCGTGTCTCCGAGCTGGCCAGGTTGTATAATAAACCCCAATCAACCATCGCTACTATTGGTGGTACAGCTGCTGCTGCTGCTGTATCACCGTCAGCTGCTGCTGCACTGTCAGCTGCTGCTGCTGTACCACCGTCAGCTGCTCCTGCTGCTGTAGTACCGTCTGCTGCTGCTGTAGCATCATCTGCTGCTGCTGTAGCATCGTCTGTTGCTGCTGTTCCACCGTCAGCTGCTGCTGCTGCTGTAGCAGCTCGTCTGCTTGTCATGCTGCTGCTGCTGTAGCATCGTCTGCTGCTGCTGTAACATCGTCAGTTGCTGCTGTAGCATCGTCTGCTGCTGCTGTAGCATCATCTGTTGCTGCTGCTGCTGTAGCATCGTCTGTTGCTGCTGTTCCACCATCAGCTGCTGCTGCTGCTGTAGCATCGTCTGCTGCTGCTGCTGCTGCAGCATCGTCTGCTGCTGCTGTAACATCGTCAGTTGCTGCTGTAGCATCGTCTGCTGCTGCTGTAGCATCGTCTGTTGCTGCTGCTGCTGTAGCATCATCTGTTGCTGCTGTTCCACCGTCAGCTGCTGCTGCTGCTGCTGCTGTAGCATCGTCTGCTGCTGCTGCTGCTGTAGCATCGTCTGCTGCTGCTGTAACATCGTCAGTTGCTGCTGTAGCATCGTCTGCTGCTGCTGTAACATCGTCAGTTGCTGCTGTAGCATCGTCTGCTGCTGCTGTAGCATCGTCTGTTGCTGCTGCAGCATTGTCTGCTGCTGCTGCTGCTGCTGCTGTAGCATCGTCTGCTGCTGCTGTAACATCGTCAGCTGCTGCTGCTGCTGCTGTAGCACCGTTGTTGGTGTGGCTTATTGAGAATACCAAGAAACAATTAACCCCAGAGGATTTGCCACCCAGGATAGCCCAAAAAAGTCAGTGTCATCGAAGACTGTCTAACTTATTTCCATTGGGGTCCTTAATCTTGTCTCCCAGGATGCAACCCACACCAGTCGACTAACACCCAGGTGAACAGGGAAAATGCCTGGAACTAGTGCTCATATTGGTGAATTTAGAGCCAGCAAAGGTTGGTTTGAGAGATTTAAGAATCGTAGTGCATACACAGTGTGATAAGGCCTGTTCTGGAAGAAAATACCAAACAGGACCTACAGTACTCAGGAGGAAAAGGCACTCCCAGGACACAGTGTCTCATCAGTCATTGCTGCATCTTCAATAAAGGTAAGTGTCATTTATTCTTCATTTAGTAGAGTAGTACATGCACAATATATATTGTGCATGTACTACTCTACTATTGTGCATGTATCCTTCTCTTTGTGTGTAGGAAAATGTATATTTCATGTGGTAAAAATTTTTTTTTCAAACTTTTGGGTGTCTTGCACGGATTAATTTGATTTCCATTATTTCTTATGGGGAAAATTCATTCGCATAGCGAACATTTCGCATAACAGCCAGCCCTCTTGCACGGATTAAGGTCGCTA